TTAACTGCAATCGCTAGGGCGAAACACCACTGGACTGGAGTACAGGAGTTGTAGTACCAGTTGTTGTTCAAGAAGGATGACCTTAGCGTGCGCTGCAATTATCGGTGCATTATCTTCACTGAGCCCTATTGGAAAAGGTTCGCAAAGGTGTTGAACAGGAGGTACCGCAGAATGACTGACTTTAAGACAAAAATAGTAGAGCGGTTTCAGTCTGATCGAAGCACCGCTGACTGAATCTTTGCTTGCAGACAATTGCTTAGAATTCGTGGAAATTTGCTTATCCGGCTTAAATCTGCTTTGTTGACCTGGAGTGAGTCTCTCACCGGTTCCCGAGCAACAGGCTGTATAAATATTTACAGTAATTGTAACTGTCGGTAGACAACCTTTTGCTAGCAACACCTTCAACTGATCTCCTGCGTTCTCTGGAAAGGTTCGCAGTCGAGCGTAATATGGCCGGAATGCGTGGTATTTCCTAGTTCTTCTGCCCAGTGAACTGCATAGGTTAGCGAAGAAGCCGTGCAGCATGTTGAGAAATTTAGGTTCGATTTTAATGGCAGTGGGAAATGGGGGAAAATACCCAATTTTGAACAATAACCACCAATGGCTTTCCGCGTGAACTTTTGCAAACTGCTGTGAATAAGGCAGATCTGAGTCTGAAGACGATCCTCATTCCCATGTTGACATGTAGGCATGAATTGTGAGACATGATAAGAACTTCGACACCGAGTACCGAGAGACTACGAAACGGGTTTTCTGAGGCGAATCTCTTAGCTCTCGCGTATCGACATGGTCCAGAGCTCAGATATCCTAGAATGCGAAGGTGTTGAGATGTTGCTTATCACAGCCGAGAAGTTATAGGTGCAATAATTTTGACACATTCAGAAGAGTAGACAAAATCTCTACTACTTGCTCACCCGATCAGCCGAAAACTCAAGATACGAAGTACCCTTCTCCGGATTTCGGTTGACTTCTGCCGATGCTTAAACACTAGGTGCAATTTCAGGAACTTTAGAGACTCGATTTGACGCATCTTCTCGAAAAAAATTAGCGATCCTAAAGATGACTGACTGAACGATAGTCAGACAATTGACCATTATCTGGGCTGTTAAGCATTTCAGCAGCCAAAAACACCTAACAGTTTGAAACTAGGTGGAAGCACTGGGAGGTAAACACACAAAACTGTGGAAGAAAGTACAAACCACTGCATCTCACGGATTCACTTTTCGCTAGCACTACCGCGAAACAGGTACAGTAAATTGAAGTGATCGAATGGGTCTTCGAAAATGATCGAAGGGAAAGGCCTGTCAAGAGGAGAAGATCTATCACCATTATGAAAAGGTCTGAAAAGTTTGCCTTTCCATGGGAGAAAAGACGAAGAATGCAGCGGGTGATTATCAGTAGCGCGTTGCACCAAAATTGTTTCACAGCCAGTTGGTCAACTCAGATTGACCGTGGATGATAAGCAAATGAGCAATGAGCATGAGCCGGAAATGTATTAAAGGAATCATTCGCATTTTCAGTCACATGATGTGTCGAAAACGAAGAAAAATTTTCTTTTTTTAGCGGCTGTTGTCTACGCATGCAATTGTTTTAATGAAATCTTTGCATCCCTGTTTCTTTCATTTTTTTCCTAGCAAATCTGTCCCGATAGCAATATTAGTGGATAATATAATAATCTTTATTCTGTGTAATGTTCTGGACAGTAAACTCTAACTTTCAAAGTACTTTACCACCGCGAAAAATATTCAGCATTGCCAAATCAGTGTCTTAATGAAAATTCATAGCCCGTTAAATCGACTTTTTTAAACAACTGTTCAAACAAGCTATTATGTGATTCAGTCGTGCTGCTCGATTGTTGTATCCTCCAGCATCAGTGATGCGCATTAATTTAAACCAGATTCACAGGTAGGATTAAAATAGTTTTCAGTGATATTTCAGTTTTGGTAAAATACACAAGGTGCTTAAGTTTGACTGGAGCATAAATTTTAAATTGAAGCGAATAGCAGCATTTGAAGTT